GCATTTTATAATGCCATTGTCAATAATTAGTACAGATTACATGCAACTAGACCTACTGTACAGTTTTTTATTGTCTGCATGGACAGACACAAGAAGATTCAGGTTACAAATACACAGATATATGTGTTTTTTTTTTTATACAGCATGAAGAAAAACGGCAGTGACTGGCATAAACATGGTCACCGGGGTTAGAACGACAAAGGTGGATGGCTAGATGCCTTTTTTTTAAATTTTCTATACTATTTCAAAAGCCACCACCTATTCTTCCCCCAAGTCTCATCTGAAAAAGCAAAACAAATGTAAAAAAAAAAAAGAGTAAAAATTAAAGAGAAGTAAACAAACAAGTTAAAAGGAAACTAAAGTACATAAAAGTCACTGCTGGAAATGTACACACATTCGTAAAAATACAATGAGAGGAGTCGAAGTGGTAGTTCCATTTGATTGGCCGAAGAAGTTAATACCATCAGGCAAAAGCTCCCCTGCAAGGGTCCTTTACTTAGAAAACGGCAGCTCAAAGCTATTCATCATCGGGCAATGGAGCTCTGAGGCGGCGTGAGGATGTGGATAAGACATAAAATACTGCTGTTACCTTCATCACGCATTTGTTTGGTTACAGTTGTGGCAGACTTGATCGATTTGGAATACAAAAATCTAGCCACAATCCCTTTGGTGGTCACTGAAGATGAACTGCATTTCTAAAAGCCTTTTCACAATCTTATTTGGTATGCTACTGTGGAAAAGCCACACCAAGTTCACAGCAAATGGCAAACAGTGGTCAAAAATAGCCTGTGTGACTTTTATCTATCTGAGTGCCTGAAAGCATGGCATTTTAGAGCCACAAGGGTGCAGAGAAGCCAGAAAATAAGAAAGACGCTCTCGATCTGCATAATTCAACCAAAGAGAGCCACTTTCTCAGAGAATTTCTATACAAATCTGGAGCGCTATTGCCTTATGAAAGACAGCTTTGAGTGCTCATGGTAAATAAAGGAATGATTTGACTTTAAAGGGAGTCTGTACACATATTGGCACCTAAAAGGACCAATAATAATAAAAAGAAACACCTTAAAGTTGCTCTTTCTTATAAGCAAGAGAGGGCTACACATTTTTCTTCAATGTTTTTTTTTCTCTTTCATTGTTTTTCTGAAGTTTTGGTCCTGTCTTATGAGAAAAGTCCTTCTGAGGTATCATTACACAATGAGTTCAACTTTTTAGTTTGTTTTCTCTCTTTTTTCCTTAAAAATGCATAAATGCACTACAGAAACAAAAACAAAATAGACCTAGCTAAGATAAATATACAAACAGGTGTGTTACCTAAACCACATATCTAACTCTTAATCTGTCTTTTTTCGAGAGATAATACACTAAAAAAAAATCATCGTCCCAGACGTTTTATGACAGAAGAACTGGGAAAACAAAACCAACAAAGGAAAACAAAATTTAACCATGATACCTGCAGCACATAATATGATAAATACATACACTTTAGCATAAGCAATACAGTATAGGAATTCTGAGCTCAAAACTTTACAATAGCTAAAAACAGGTGCAGAAAAAATAAAAGCCAAAAGAAAACAAGTAAAGGAAACACGAAAAGGAGGGAATGCCCTTGAGAGCTAAGCCGAGCGGTAATATACAAGAATACATCATTACAACGTGTGTAAAAGTAACAAAGGAGTCATGTCGATCACCACTGATGCGTTTCAGTCCACATCTTACAAAACAGCTTTGTTTACACGTGTACCTTAAAGCACAATTGTAGTCCATTTAGTGAATGCAGCAATTCATTCGTGAGTTTTTCAATTCCTTCGCAATCCTCAGTTCTTGTAGCACAAGCTCGTTGGTTCTCTTTGGATATTTTGGTTTCGTCGCGTGGTAAAAATAAAAGCCCGTTTTAGCAGGAGCGTGATGATCTCTTAGGGATGGTCTATGTGTGTGTGTGTGTGTGTGTGTGTGTGTGTGCGTGCTATTTTTCCACCGCCGTCACGAAGCTACACTTTGCATTAATTGGGAAGCGGGGTCCGTGCGAGAGTGGCCTGCGTTAATGCATTCTGCCTATCATCATTTCTGACACCCAACTGACTGGCCCATTGAGTACGCTCTAATGACCGGCCAGCTCGGTGGCTCTCATTGGCCTGGCCTCTCATTATGCATGCGGAATTAGAACACACAATTAAGCCTCCGCACAGAGGACCTGTACATAGACACTATGCTAATAGATCACTTAAAGTGGGGAATATGTGATTTGGATTTTTTTTTTTTGGAGGGGATGGAGAGGTAGTCGTCTTTTCCCCCCCCGTTGTGTCTCGTTTATTTGTTTCCATTCATGCTAATGAATTTGGAATCGAGAGGAATCGACAAGCTCCGTTCACAGCTATGCAACAATAAACATATTTTGGTTTTTTCGACAATGTGTGTTTGCGTTTTATTTTTATTAATTTTTTTGTATTTTGTGGGTGAATGAAAAACTAGAAGGGAGTTATACCTTTTGTATGACTATTGGTGACTTTCATTGGCCTATCTATTTTGTGAACTGTTTTTAAAAGGAGGTAGCATTATTTTTGGTTTTATTTCTTTGAAGGTGTTTCGAAGGTGTGTATGAAATGAACATACAGCCCAGGTATGTCAGACCATGCTTAAAAGTGAAAAGAAGGATCCCCCAACATAAAAAATTGGAAACAGTCCTTAAAATGAGTCCCTATCAGCCATCCCTTATTAGTGTGGTAAATAATACTGTTCAACAGGCAGGGTAAGCATAACAAGCAAGTGCTTGCCTGCTTTTTTTGGTATTCGTTGAACTGCATTTAATTGTGAAATACTGGTAATTGAAGTAAACCATAATGCTGAGTAATTGCTGCTGGCTTCTAGTGTCACAAAGTACATCAACTGTTATTTAAGTGCCTTTTGCATGTAAAGTCCTTTGCAATCTTAGACGGTGAAGACTGCATCTCAACACTGCAATTGCCTGAGCACAAGATGGGGTAGAGAGCTTCCTTTCTCAGATCGTAAGTGCTTGTACATTAACTAAGGAACCGCGAGAGGCTTGTTAATACTGCTTTTTGTTTCCTTTTCGGTTTGTTTTTGGCCTTTAAACATATGTAGTGTTAAGAACTCATTAGGTTAACGTATATTAAAACAGTTTTCTCCTTTAAAAAAAAAAAAAAAAAAAAGCTTTTGCATTTTACACTTTGGTTTTTGGAATGCTCTGTAGTGTAATTTAAAAAAAACTAATGATTTAACTGGAAAAAAAAGGAAATTTAAATATTCAAATGACGGATTTGTGTTCTTTTGGCCAGTTCTTTAGGAAGAAGAAAATGATAAATAAAAAAAGAGTTTTTGGTTTACTAAATATCTCTTTGGTTACCTGTAACAAAAGTAAAATGGGGAAAAAACTAAAAAAGCAACATATATTAAATTTAAACTCGGAATTTGGCATGGCACTACTGAGAAACGTTTTTTTTTTTATAGTTCAGCGAAAGCAAAATCTCACATGCTAATCAGACACTTTCTACTCACACAGTGAATTGCAAATAACTTTTATATATCTAGAAACTATAGAACTTTGAACTGATAATGAGAGAGTCACCGTGTTGGTTAGCCACAGTACAAATCCCCTTTGTAATAACAGCGTGAGGGGGCAAACACTGTGGTCTGAGGTATTCCGTGACCTTGTTATCTTTTACCTTAAAGCAATATTTTGTATCGCAGCTGATATCAATTGGCTACTACAGAAAATTCTGAAATGAACAAAGTAAATGGCGCAAATCTGGGAAAATAAGATCTAAAATTTCAAAATAATTGAACAAATGAAGCAAATTTGTGAAAAAATAAGAGAGATATGAGTGCATGTGAAGTTATTTTTTTCTTTTTTCTCCAGGATCTTACAGGGAGCCCTGCAATGTGTATTCCACCTCTGTCTCTTTAGTTTCAGCTTCTCTCTGCTATAGAAATGTTTGAGTGGTTTTGTTGGTATTTCACGTTATATTTCATCTGTGGTTCTGTTTCGGAAGTTTTCACTTAATGCTAAGTGCTATCCTCAATACTCGTGATCCAATGCTAGGATAAATTTGGAACTTTTTTTGAACAAACTTGAGTTTGTAGAATAAAGGATTTTGGAACTTCTCTCCCAAATGTAACCCCTTTTTGGAATGATGAGAGAATTTAAAAAACAAAACAATCATTAACAGAAGACATAATAGTTGAATTACATCACAATGAAAAATGTTGATCCTTTACAAATAAATGACTATGAAAGTAAAACGAAATCGAAAGCTACTGCACACATATTATAATCAACGATACAGTCAATAAAGTCTCTGAGCCGGTCCTCCACAAGCCTCGTGTCAGTCTGGCTGTCATAACAGCACCACAGGAGAACAACAGCGAAAAAGTTCCATTTCCTGAAATATGCCTTTTTTGGGGGTAGCAACATTTTCTACGTTTAGTCTGACAAAGAGCGAGGGGGAAAAACACGTTTGGGCAGATTCTTGCAGATACCATCAGATAAAGATAGGGACAGCGCAAGCATCCGCCGTTTAATCGGAGGCTAACACTGCCTCGAGACAGAACGCGCCCCCCGTTTCTCTAGTCCAGTCATGTAAGGGAGACAAAAAAAAAAAAAAAAAAAAAAGGGTTGGCCAGGTGGCCAAGGACGCCGTCACCAGTCTTTCAGCTCATTTTCTTTCAGTCTTTGCCTTTGTAGTGATTGGTGAACTTATCTGCGTGAGCGCAAAGTTACTGAGTCTTGCAGCATCCCCTTGAACGAGTACAAAAATCCGGTTGAAATCAGAAGTCATTCTAAAGATGTGCGTTTGTCATCTTTTTCCTTTTTTCAAACATCTTTCTGAGGTAAATCACCGCTGTGTATTTATCCCATAGAAAAGCAGTGTTCTCAGGCCCAAAGAACATCAAAATGAAAGCTAAAAAAAAAGACTTAAAGTAAAGAAACCTTGAGTGACTTGTGGAAAAAAAAATGACTAAGCTTGTATACTTGTATTCCCTCAGTAGCTTTAGATACAGTGGTCCATACTTCTATCAGACCATGTTTCAGAATACAGGAGGATACAATGCACAGCTGCTCAAAGGGCCTTTTTGAGGGTACACAAAAATTAAGGGGGGAAAATGTGTTTTTGCATTGTGAACTGATGAGGTCTAACCCTGTTTTGGTTTTTGAAGTTGTAGTTGATTTTTTAAAAATCTTTGTTTCTCACTTGATCTTGAACATCTTGTATATGAGGGAGGGAGGGACAGGGCCAGTGAGCTCCGCCTCCATCAAGCCTTCCTCCTACTCAAGCTCCTCTGTGGGAAGCTCCTCCTCCATGTCACGCTCATCACCAGGCATGCTCAGGTTTTGAGTGACAGATGCCATAAGGGACATGGGTCTGCTGTCCTCCTCCATCTCAGCTGGCTCCTCCTTCACATGGACATGGTGTCTGAAACAGAAATAACATGCAAAAAGTCAGTCTGAGATTACAGAAGCATGATAAACATGTCATTTTTTAAATATGGTTAAATTGCTTTCAAATATAGAAAACACAACTTTAAATGTAGATACATTTTTAATAATTTATAATTCAGTAAGGATCAAAAAATATGTATTATATATTTATATGATATTATATTATTTGTAACATTTAATGTGATTATTCTTATCAAGTTAAATTCAGCATGGACGCATTACATTGATCAAATGTGACAAAGACATTTATAATGTTACAAAAGACTTCTATTTCAAACTATTTGAACTTTCTATTCACCAAAGAATTTTGAAAAAAAAAAAAGAAAAAAAAAAAAAGTAAGATGATTTTCACAAAAATATTGGGCAGTAATATTAATATTCACTCTTTTCAAAATTATTATAAAAAGAAATTATTCTTTAGCACCACATCAGCATATTAGAATGATTTCTGAAGGATCCTGTGCCACTGAAGACTGGAGTAATGGCTGCTGAAAATTCAGTTTTGCATCACAAAAGTAAAAAACATTTTAAATATATGAAGAGTTCATTTGCAAAAACAGGTAACTCCATTTTTAACAATTTTCTAAAATCATGTTTTTTCATTGTGCATTCCAATTAATCTCATTCAAACTGCAGTTGGTTTATTTTTATTAGGTAAAAAACAAGTTAAAAATACAGCTAACTAACACAATAAAACAATAAAAACATGATAACATATATTAAAATAGAAAACAGTTATTTTGAATGGTAATATTATTTCACAATACGGTCTTTGTTGTATTTTTGGATCAAATAAATGTTTCTTGGTGAGCAAAAGTGACAAAAACATTTAAAAAAATCTTACAGATCTCAAACTTTGGAATGAGAGTGCATTAAATTTTCATTGAAAATACACACTACATATCAAGGCACTGGTAATCAGTCAGCTGGGAGTTGACTAGTCTTACCCGTACTGCTGTGGAGAAAGTCCAGGGCTGCAGCTGCCGTTACTGTTGACTTGTTCAACAGTGCTGCTGACATCATCGTGGCCAATGTGCAGCATGTTGAGGCTCGCACCCGTGCTGTTGTTCATCAGGGTGGGGCTGTTCAGAAGACCAAGACTGCTCTCCGCAAGTGCAGCCTGCACACACAGTTTGAAAGGATTTAGACTTTCTCAAAAGTTAAGAGAGATGCAATGATGGCTATGTTGCTATAAAATTATAAGGCACAGTTGACATTACAGTTGTCTGAAAGGTCACTGTAATGAAAATATTGTCATACTGTATGTAAGTTGAGGAAGATGAATGCAAGGTGTAATCAAGCACAAAGCCCTCTGGTGCCCCTTTTACACAGACAACAGTGTATATTTATTGATTTTAAATTTATATGAATTACTAAAAGATAAATGTGCTGACTGGATAGATGTAATCTGTGTGTTTTAAGAGACATCTGGCAGCAGTGGTGCAGCAGGTTAGTTTGTGTCACCACTAGGGGTCTCCTCGCTTCCATACAATAGACTTGACTGCTCGCTGAAATAACCAGAAACGCACCAACTCACACTGCTGTTACACATGTGCTCATCTCCAAAACTCATTAATATATAAAATACATGAAAGTATGTTATATTGTTTGGTAATACTAGTGATATATACTAGAGAAGATAGTGACACTTACAGTGGGGTCCAAAATTAAAAAAAATACAAGTAAAAAGTGCTGCCATTTTAGCATTTTACTTAATTTTAATTTTGGTAACACTTTATTTTAAGGTGTCTTTGTTATACGTTACATGTACTTACTATTATAATAACAATTAATTATGCATAATTACATGCAAGTAACCCTAAATCAAACCCTAATCCTAAACCTAACCATATAGTAAGTACATGTAATTAATTAATATTACTCAGTACTTAAATGTATAATTACACTGTAACAAGGACTCAAAATAAAGTGCAACCTTAATTTTTTTTATATATATAAATATATAATTACAATAAAATTTATTTAATGATAACTTAAAGAATATTATTTATAATAATCCTAATTATATAATCATTCATTGCATCATTCATCTTTGAATTATTATTTAGAACTACGCTGTACATTTTGAGTTATTTTTTATTTGTTTCTTTTTAAAAAAATCCATATTTTCTGTTGACTACATTGCACACTCAGACTGGCTTTATAGACACATAATTATATTACCATAAACTGCTTAAAAAATAAAAATAAATAAAATAAAAATTCAAGATCCAAGGCAGAAGTAATGGCACATCCATGTAAGTGTAAATGTTAAATTCATATTACCATTACTACATACAGTACAAATCTACATAAACAACTATGCATATGGATATTTTAATGCATGAGGAAAGGTGGAACGGAAAATGATTCTGAACTGAAATTTTTATGTGGTACTCATGCCAATTCAAACAGTAGTGACTGCCCAAAATATGCCACCGAGAGAAAGAAAGAGAGAGATGGAAAGAGCAACAGAGAGAGAGGGAGAAGAGCAATGAAAGAGTTTGAGGGAAATCCATTCTGATTCTGTGGAGACTGGGTGGTGGCGAGAAAGATGATCAGGGTCACACAAGGTTTAAAGGATGTGAACCAAATAAGGGCTATTTTTTACCCTTTAACTATAATTAACTAGAAGCCACCTACGATTTTGGCAAAAACAGACAGATCTAATAGGTAAACATGCTTAATACCTGTTTAATGAGATGGCCAGGTTGAATCACGTTTAAAAGGTCAATTTCAGGCAACCATATGCAGACTAAAACACACTCAAGGAATTACAAATGGAAAACAGCAGAGTCACACTCTGGTAGGGCGTTGTTGTGCACGCCAGAGATCTCCACTGTGTGTCTGATCTTTTGTTAAAGGCTAGTTTATGTGCGGCCTTTTCAGGATGAGCAGTTCCATTTCCATAGAGATGGCCTGCGGGGTCAGAGTGGGACAAACTGGGCCAGGCTGCTGGAAGTGTGTGTGTGTTGGCCCGTGATTAGCTGGGCTGTTTGTTTGTCAGGCGCTGACACTGCTTGTCCTGTGAGGAGATGGATGGGCGCAGACCTGACAGAGCGCCACACACGCTCACACACCCAGACCAGGACTCAAACACAAAGGCTAACCTCCCAGATCCATCTCTGTCTCGTCACACAGCGTTCTTGGGAAAAACACACACACACACAAACACAGAAACACAGAGCCAGGCTCCGAAAGCTCAGAACGAGAGTCGCGGTGACACCGTGGGTTTCAGATGGATTTTCTAGGACAGACACTAATTTTATGCTATGACCTTCATTGACAAATATTTGATGCTATAAATCACATATGGCTGGCTGGGAGCGCGTGTGCGATGGAGGGAGGAGAACGGAGGAGGTTTGGGAGAAGTAGCTAATTAGAAGAGGAAATTATTATCAGCGCCCTTGTGCGCTTGATCTTGCCCAGATCCGCGCAGGATTCCCACACTTTCTGAGGAATGAATTTTCCAGGATCTTTCCAGTTGTTTACAACTACTTTACTCATTCAGAAAGATTCACTCATGAACCATTTAGACCAATTGAAATAAACTGAAAAGAATGATTCGTTCACATGTCAGATCTCACTACAGCAACTTTTACTTTAACGTTTAGCAGACAAAATATTTCTGAGCTCTAGAAAAATGTATAGTCATATTTAGAAATTTTTATGACTTTAAAGATATTATTTTCCGTGCAAATTCTAATTCAGACCGATTTGCTAATGAATCCTTTAGTCCAGACTCTGAACTGGTTTGAGACGGCTTAAAAGATTCATTTACAAATCAGACAATCAAAAGATTCAATGATGAACCAACTCAAAAGAATGATTCACTCACATGTGAGTCACTATGGCTTGCTCAACACAAAATAAATATTTAACCATATAAATAAATATTTATAAATAAACACATTTTTATAATAATTAAAAAAAGGTTATTTGTGATGAGTTTTAAAATCTACATTTTAATATATCGGGCTACATTCCTCCATCATTTTCAATGATGAATGCATAAAGGTGTCGATTTGATGTAATGAAGGCACTCACCTGATAGCTGGCATTCAGAGAGCCAAATCCCAGCCCAGAAATCATATTCTTCACGAGAGTGGGACTTCTGAGAAAGAGAAGAAAGAGAGAGGGTGATTAAGTACATGTGTGGATTACAACAAAACACATCTGACCGGAGCGCATGTTAAAAAAAGCTCCCAAACCCGTGAAAAATGCTACGGCACTACTCTATTTACAAGAGATAAATAGAAAAGTTAAACAATGGAGAGTAACATGCATTCTGACACAGCATATACTGCACACACACTACTGTTTGTTCGTTTATGTGTCGGTGCGCTACAGGGCTGAAATCTGGCGCACAGGCCGTCGGCTGGGTAATTTGCCGTCGTCTCTTTGGCAGAGCTTGAGACGGCGTGTAACATCTGTTTGTACAAATGCAAGCAGGCACGCTTTTCTGTGGTGCATCTGCTCACAATGTACCCTAAACAGTGTAGACACAGACGGAAAAAATACACAAGCATGCACTGCCAAACACAAGCAGGCAAGGCATAAAAGAGACCTTTGTGCTTTTGACTAGAGAGTCAGTAATAAGGTAATGATGGGAAGCCCATTAGGGTAATCATACATGCCAATAACGATTATAGCCCCACTTCCAGAGCAGACCTACAAGCTTACGCTTTTGCTACAGGAATAAAGCCTGCTTTTGGGACTTCTGCTCAATAAATAATCTTCACTTAAAAAGTGCTGTTTTAATCTGGTGTTTCACAGGTTTTTGTGATTAGTATGACTTCAGACAGGCTCCTATTTCAGTCTGTAAAGCTAAAGAAAGTCTCAGTAGGCATTCTTAAGAAAGCCAAGAGTGGCAGCACAACTATCTGACATCAAACGTCATTGGTCAACTTGCCTCAAGATGCAATATTTGATTTAAGAGCTACAGCAGAGGTGAAGATCATTAGTGAGTAGTAATTATATTTTGGTTGGGCTACAATGTAAAAAAAAAAGTAAAAACTATGAATTGTCATATATTTTATGGTACAAACAGTAAAAGGACAGTCCCAGAAGTCCCTGTGTGATGCATCACATTATATTTTGTATAAATAATTTTGTTTCTTTTTATGTTTGTTATCAGTAATGTACATTAGGGTGTTTTGTGTTACATTTTATGTTTACTTAATGTTTATTGCATTATTTTAGTGTTGTGTGTTACCTTTTGTCTTTGTGTCTACAGTATGGTCAATCTATATACAATTATTGGCCATGTTTTATGGACAGGCCACTTATATTTAACTCTGAATAGAGGTATATTAACATTATATCACTTAATATCTTGTTACTTTTTTAAAAAGTGAATTTCTGACAACCACAGCTGCCTTTTTTTTTTTTTTTTTTACTGTAAATGTAATAGGATTACACATTTACAGTAAAATGTGTATTACATCAATTCAGGAGTCTTGGAATATAGTACTTTTATGATATCTTTTTGAGAGTGAGTGCTGCACCTTTTCTAATTAGATTTTTGGTTGCACCTCCTTTTTTGATGGTAGAGCACCTCTTTTCAGAAAAAAATAGATTTTTTTTTTTGGTGAACTTGACAACACCAGACCCCATTCACTTTTATTATATGCCTGAAAATGTAACAAAATTTAATGGAATAATCTGGAACAACAAGAATTTTAATCTTTGGGTCAACTATCACTTTAAAGGTGACCTGTCTGAGTCTACATACCCGGTCATCTTTGGTGGTCTCCTCTTTTGGTACTCCACTTCGTCCACGGTCCAAACAGCACCCTTGACGTTCTCGACCCGCACAAAGCACTTGTGCAGACTCAGGTTATGGCGCACCGCATTCTGGGTAACAGCGACGGGACAGAGAAGACAGAGCAAAAAGTAGTAGTCAGTCTCCCGTTCCAGCCACGACTCAACGCTCTAGGTATCTTAAGCAGAATCGCGACCGCGTCGCTGTCATTGCTGGAAACGCAATTATAGCGCGGCCTGATATAAACAGCCTTTAATAATGGCATAAATCTTATACCTGCTTTCTAATTAAAAGAGCGCACGTGATGATGAGCACAAAAGATTGTACGGCTCAGACAGGGACGTGTCGACTGAGCGTATCTCTCTATCTCGAACCCGTCCCCCTCCCGCCCGCACCATCTCACAGACACACAACCAATTAAGTGCACATTCTACTGACAATGTGGTGCCACACCATCATAACAGTGGGGAGTAAAAAAAAAAATCCATCTTTGAATGCAAAAAAATAAGAAACGATGCGCACTATCCCCCCTCCACCATCAGCAAACCCACCCTCTGCTTTTTTATTTTAAATTTCACTAATCAGCCACTATCTAGAATAACACCCCCAAGGGAGGCCCCTTCCTTTTCATCTACTATTTGTAGTTTGTTCATGCCCAATTTCATTACCAATTTTAATTCGTGTATAATTAAATCCTGTGTATTTTTTCCGATGCACTCTTTTTTTTTTTCTGAATCCATGAGGGAGGGACTGCTGATGCCGGAATCACTCCTAACCATAATTACAAGTGCCATAATCAGGCGAGGCCTCCCTCCTTTGAATAAATTTCCCCGTGCAGGAGCGATGATGCTTAGTTTTGCAAATGAGTATGACCCCAATTTCAGCCTGCCACCTCACCGATTTTATTTGCATTCCCATCCGTGATGAAAGACTAATTCTCCCAGTTAAAACATTAGCAGCAATTTAAAGGGGGTCAGCCTCTGCAGATATAAACAAAATGCCGCCTGGCTGTGTGTGTGTGTGTGTGTGTGTGTGAATGAGTGACTGGAGGGGTGGCGGCTATATTAGAAAGATGGCACGCTTGATGCGGATGTCAAATGCGTCTCGGTTCCTTTGGTGACGGCGACCACATGAAGAGGGAGGACACTATAGCCACCATTTTAGCTTAGAAATGAACAGCGACAGTAAATGTAATGTACAGCTTGAAACTGTGTTCTGCAGTTCAGAGTGAAACTGGATATCAAGGTTATTCAGTTTTTAAAGATATTACAAAAGACTTTTTTTGCACCACTGAATCGCTCATAGGACCAGAAACATGTATTAAGAAAGTAAATATGGGTCAATTTCAGGCACAGTGGGCTTAAAAGCTACACAGCTTACCAAGGACAAGGCTCAATCTAGATACTAGTGGCCTCACACAAAAAAAAGTACCAGTGTACAAATGGAATGAAATATTTTGTGCGGGTCAGCGTGGGTTACAAATATCTCCCACTTTATATACACAATCATTAGTTAAACTACCGCTGTGAAATTCAGAAAAGCAATGGGGAAGTTAATGAAAGAATTACACAAACCGCTGACAGACATCTCCATAAGCAAAAAAATAAAAAATAAAAATAAAATTGCAGGTGGTGTGCATGAGACAAAGGTGTGCTGAGAAATCTGCATTTAGAGCTGGGTCATTCTTTGAAACGGACATCTTTTCCTGATTGATAAATTACTTTCTGATTTTAAACCTTCTATGAGAAAAATAATGTATTGAGGTATTAATAAATTGCATTAATAGAACAGCTAATTTCTTTAAAATTCCATGAAAAATACATATATTGTATTATACACTATCGTTCAAAAGTTTTGGAATTTACTTTTTATTCAGCAACGATGCATTAAATTGATCAAAAGTGACAGTAAAAAGTTAAAAACATTTATGATGTTACAAAACATTACCATTTCAAATAAACACACTTGAACGTTCCATCAATCAAAAAATCCTGGAAAAAAAATGTATAGCCATTTCTACAAAAACATTAAGCAGCACAACTGTTTTCAACATTGATAATAATAGGAAATTTTTCTTGAGCAGCAAATCAGCATATTAGAATGATTTCTGAAGAATCATGTGACACTGAAGACAGGAGTATTAATGATAAAAATTAGTTTTGCCATCATAGATTTTAATTATATTTTAAATATATTAAACTAAAAAAAAATTTTTTTTACTGTATTTTTGTTCAAACAAAAGAAGCCTTGGTGAGCATAAAAGACTTCTTGCAAAAACTTAAATCTTTATAGTGCCACACATTTGCTTTTTATCAAAATAAATGATAAGAAAATTAAGGGGACGTTGCAATTACTAAAAGTTAGCATCAGCTCTACACTTAAGTCTATGAGGGACACAAATAGCAGCAGTTTTGCAGAATGACCCAGCTGGTGTCCATCTTGTGAATAAAAGCCGCCCTCTAACTGATCAATGACTTCCTCTACTCTCCGGACCTAACTTTTCATGAAATATAGATGGCCATTAAGAGCACCGGAGAACATGCATCTCTATTTCTATATTTAATACCGGGCCAAATGACTGGCAAGAGAGGAAGACAAGTGAGAACGTGCAGTTATTAAAATAAAAAGAAGAGAGAGAGTGTGAAAAGGTACTATAGGATGGAAAAAAAAAAGATCTGGCTCTGGTGGAGGAGGAAAAGTAGACGGATCCATTAATTGTTAAATTTCATAAAAGTGAAATGAGTTGTTAAAGATATTCCTGCCACTTTCACCTCCTTCCTCTCAACTCTCACTGGCTAAGCTCACTAACTGCTCCTGGGTGCCGCTGCGGTTCAAGACTATTAGCCTGCTGTTCTGTCTTGATGCCCTCAGCCTCCTTCGGTCCCTCTCTCACCTCACCTTCTCCGATTCTCTCCCTACTTCCTCTCCTCCAGAGGCTCAGGCACACAAATGAGCCTTGGGCCAGTGTTGGCTGAATGTGGGGCAGCACCTCCTCAGTCCAGGCTCCAGGCTATAGGTCACGTGAATGGCTAATGAGGAGACTGACTGACAGGAAGCGAGCTACTCTTTGCGGTGTCCGTTTCCTCTCTGGCCTGACAGCACCTTGCCAAGCTCCTAGTCCACAGGGGGAAGAGGAGGATGGGAGGGATGTATTAGCACATCTTTCTGAGGGGCGAACTAATGGCTAAGCAGGGTGATGGGGAGATGGCCCACTAAATGGGATGGTTACATGGGCGGCCCGGGCCTTTAATGACCACTCTTTACTTTGGACAGAAAGAGAGATAGAGAGAGAGAGAGAGAGGGGTGACTGGAGGCTAAATTTCATAAAGGTAAGATAAAAGTTAAACTTGTTGGTTAAGTAAAACTTATGATTATTTTGATTAAAAAGAAAATAATGATTAATAATAATAATTAAAATATCATAAAAGTCCTTTTAGATCAAAGTTAACCATGTTATAGGGTTTTTATTATTACTATTATTATTATTTGATTTATTACCTCATTTAACTGTAATTAAATTAAATTGTACTATTAACTGCATCATTACTACTAATATTAATAATGAATAATATTACTTAATAAAAATGTCAAGGTATAAAGGTATGTTTAGATAATAAAAAAAGTAAAAAAAAAACATGTTTGAGTTCAAAATGAAAGAAAAACAGATCTGGGAATGGCCAGGTCGTAACTTGGCTGTCGGTGTGATGCCAGGCATCATTAATAACCTCACTGTTATTGGAACTCTACAGAAGGCTGTATCTCTGTTGTACCCGCTGTACCCCTTGGCACGAAGGGTGGATTTATTGTTGTTTGGGTCATGTTGAACAATGGGCTGTGTCTGTTGCTCTGTTTTTATCTCTGTGAGACTTATAAAAGAAGGACCCCATTTGTCTCATTGCTAGAAGGCAAGCATGACTGCTGTAGACCCTGGTCTGTTGAGATGATGTGAGATAAAATATTCAGAAAACTATCCAAATAAAGTTTACAATACAAATGTAAAAACTCAAAACTATCAAAATAAAGTTTAAAAAAAAAAAGTAAAAACTGAACAAAAAATTTGAAAAAAAAAAATTTAAATAAATAAACCCCACCAAAACGCTGCAGAATAATATTTCATACTTAGTTCAAAGGAGTTTCGTTTACTGCATTTGCAGGCCAAAAAATTAGCTTGGCTTTAGTGGTGCAAAACCATGGGTCAGGGTTAAGCTGGTAAGCAAATTACTAGCCATTTGAAACTAGCAGTGTATTTTTATTTAATTAAGCAATATATGAATCACAAGATATACATTTCCATTTAAAAGTATGAGTTTGGTAAGGTTTTTAAAATGAATTTCAAAGATGTATTTTTTCATAAAAAATACGCTAAAAACAGCAATATTGTGAAATATTATCAAAATTTTAAGTAACTTTTTTTTTTCTGTTATAATATATTTTTTAAATGTCATTTATTCCAGTGATGGTAAAGCTGAATTTTCAGAAGTCATTACTCCAGTCTTCAGAGTCACATGATCCGTCAAAAATCCTTCTAATTTGCTAATTTAATTGAAAGAAGTTATTATTAAAAATGGTATGTTGAAATATTAATATTTTTGTGGAAACTGTGATTTCAGGATTCTTTGATGAATAGAAAGTTCAAAAGAAGTGTTTATTTGAAATAGAAATCTTTTGTAATATTATTAATGTCTTTACTGTCACTTACAATCAATTGAATGCATCCTTGCTGAATAAAAGTATACATTTTACTGAGCCCAAACGTTTCAACGGTAATGTCGTGTAAAATGTCAGGTGGTTCCTGCGGTAGCCAAGCACCTGCCATAGTGATGAATAGGAACGTTAACAAGTAGTACTTCAAGTATTATTGTGCAAAATGTATTGACTTTTTCACTTGATGGGACATTACCTTCCATGTTGCGGTGTTTCTCCTGAAATAGGCAAACATTCGTGTAAACCAGTTATAGATCTCGTTTAGAGTCAGCTGTCGGTCAGAGGTTTCCAGAATGGCCTGGTTGAATAAAGCCAAGAGAGAACGGAAGAGAGAAAGTGAACAAGTGTCAAGAGGTGATCCAAATGGCTGTTATTAGTAAGACATTAGCTGATGGACTGTTTCCAGACGGGCAGGCAGTGCATTATGGATAGTGCCGCATGTTTTAAGCATGACTGACACTGAGCTAAGAGATGCGCATAAATCCTTAGTTACCAGCACACACCTCTGAACTCCGCTCAAGAGCACTGGAGCACAGAGCGCACAGTCCAGATCTAACTTACGTGTCGTATGAGGGAGGCGTAGGTGAATGGAGGCCTGACATCAGCGTTTTTGTAGAATTCACAATTCTGTGCAAGTTCTGTAATGGACAGACACAATTATTTCATATATATATTTCAGTGTTGTATAAAGTGATATGTAGAGTAAGATCAGCTTTTCTAGATTTTATGTAACCTGAAGCGATAGGGGTGCAGAACTTGTCGGAGTTGCGCCGACGGATGGGCCCGACTCCGTGCAGGCTGGAAGAGCTGATGACGGAGGGTCCCTGCCTCATGGGGGTGATGGGAGTTGCGGCAGAGGTGGGGGGATGAGGCAAGCCCTCAGGAAACCCCTCACTTTCTCGTTTTGACAGCGACATGCTAGAGGCCAGGTTCAGCTAAACGGGAGGAAACAAAATTGAAAACTTATTTACAATAAAAACGACCAATCAAAATGAGTTCACCAGTAGCGTATCATATCACCATTCAGAAGGTTTACATTTTTTCAAAAGAAGACGCTCATGCTTATCAAGGTTGCATTTATTTGATTTGATTGTGAAATATTATTGTTTAATTATTATTATTTAAAATACATTTAAAGTTTATTTTTTTATTTTAATATATTTCAAAGTGTAATTTATTCCTGTTATGGTAAAGCTGAATTTCCTGCAGCCATTAATCCAGTCTTCAGTGTCACATGATCCTTAAGAAATTATTCCAATATGCTGATTTGCTGCTTAAAACATTTCTTATTATCAGCAATGTTGGAAATAGTTGTGCAGTTTAATATTTTTAAGCAAACCATGATACATTTTTAGTATTCTTTGATGAACAGAGTTCAAAAGAGTAGCATTTATTTGATCTTTTGTAAAATTATAAATGCCTTTACTGTCAATTTTCATCAAACTAATGCTTCTGTGCTGAATAAAAGAATCAATAAAAAAAAAAAAAACGTTTGAAAGGTAATTCATATTATATACTAGTATATAATATACTAGTATATATTATATACTTAGTAAACTATAATTTAATGATATCAAATGAGACATATACTCTTAAAATTAAAGGTCCCAAAAGGGTGTTTTTGCAGTGATGCCATAGAAGAACCATTTTTGGTTCCCCAAAGAACCTTTCAGTGAACAGTTCCTAAAAGAACCATTTTGAAGGACATTTTAGAAATCTAAAGAATCTTTTTTGACTATAAAGAACCTTTTCTGCATTTGAAAGGTTCCATGGATGTTTAAGGTTCTTTATAGAACCATCGATGCCAATAAAGAACCTTTATTTTTAAGAGTGTACATAACATTGAAATTCACTCCAAAAATCGAAATGTTTATTATCCAATTACAATAATGATGGAATTAGTTATAATAATAATAATATTATTGATTTATGTATTTATATTTTACAATAATATCTAAATTATAAACAAATAATTTACTATAAATAATAACATATTTATAATACATAATACTATTAATCATATTTGCAGTGTATTTGTAATGGTCAAATTTCATACGTTTATAAGCTTTTATACATGTATTATTCAGGTAAATATAGAAAAAAATGCATTAAAACTTGAAAAGTTATGTTTGGGAAGAAGAAAAATTGTATTGCATTCGATATATAAAATTATTATTAATGTTGTTTACTTTTAAGTTGCTTGTTTTTTTGTTTTTTTACATAAACATACATTTATACACATATACATAATACCAGAAATAGCACGAAACAATGACAGCGCAAAACACAAATGCCCTTCTCTCTCTATTTGGCACACGTTAAGTCTCAGCGCAGCCTCGATTCTAATTCGCATCATCTTCGTTGTGTACAGTAATCTCCTGCATTGCAATTACCAACCAGGAAATATAATCATCTTCAAATTGTCATTGGTCTCCCGCTGTGAGAAGCACATCCTGCGATCCTTGCCAGCACATCCATGCCAAAAGCAGTTGGCACAGTGACTCCATTATAAGATGATCCCGTTCACCCGGTGAAATTCAAACAAAGCACCCCACAAATCGCATTTCTCAGACACACGCGGGCACGGGCGCACAAACGAGGCTTCTCGGTGACACATTGTCTGCAATTAAAGCCACACAAGAGGAGCAAAACAAAGCGATACATGGTAGGAGGGGGTAAAACAACAATCTGGCAACAAATAACGCTTGCGGTTACCCGCCCTCATTGTGGCCCTGCTCTGCCCAATTAGCTTCGGTGAGCACGAAGCGCTAGGAAACAGTTTTCCCCATCGCTCAGGGAGTCTTTTTCGGGGTTGCTTGTTTTGTTCTAATTAAAACCATCATGTGCACGTGTGAGCAGCGAGAGATAGAGCGAGCGAGGAGGGGCGGGCGTAGCGGGGGTTGACGCTAATATGGCGAATTAAACAGCGCCAGCCCTCTTTTCTCTCCATTCTCATTGCCACAGGAGCCAACCTGGCCCATCTCCAGTAATTACGGGAGCAAAATGGTTTAACAGGTACTTAATTAACGCTGGAGCCGTGCCAGTTTGCTGTGCCAAACACCCAACGATCTTAATAGCGGTCAATGCCACACACGGGTTTGAGCTTGTGCTAAGCTCCGCCCTAATGCTCACCCTTACCACTTAATGCTAATTCTTTCTCTTGATCACACTCACAATTATCATTTTTTCATTCTCTCTCTCCCTCGTTCTCGTCTAGGTCGCTCGGCCCGGCCCGGTCACCATTTCCCATTACCGTCTAATGGCGGCTGATCCGTGGAATTTGTCTCCAAACAGGAGACGCGGCCTACTTTCGCCCTCCGCCTTCATTTATATCCCCTCAAATGAAGACACTCCACTTCTAATTGACAATTAATTTCAACATCTTCGTATTTTAATAAGACTCCTCATCAATCTCAGCATGAAATATTCATTAGATTCCTAATAATTGCACAGGCAGCTGGTGGCTTGAGGGGGAAACGCATTGTGATGGCTGCGTGTGAAGCAGCGATGTGGAATATCTAGAAAGTCTAGCTCAAAACACTGTGGCATAAATACAAGCGTCTTTAAGTACAAAAACACTCTTCTAAAGTGGATTGGAGGAAAGCAGGCCAGCTGTAGCTGCTTCAAAGAGAACTCAATCTATAAGAGTCCATCATCACACTTGAGTTGAAGGTGTTTAATGGCTTGCTTGCTTAGGCTTGCTTTTGTAAAGTGCAAGGATAAGTTGAACAGGTAAATGTATGAATCTGCATTGAGACTATAGAGTTTAGCTGCTCTCCAGGAACACGATCCAAGAAGACGGCAGATAAGAGCACAGCACTTCCGCCGTTCTCCAACAGAGAGCGCTCTGCCTCACACAACTGATTCATTGATCATACCGTGCCAGACAGTTACTTCACATGAAAAACATGAGACACACTATCAAAATACAAGTTATCAGAGGAAGTAAGAACGAGACAGAAGTTAAGAACTTACAGGTTGGTTGAAATGCTTTGGCTCTGACGGACGCATGTGCAGGTGGGCCATCATGGCCTGCAGACGCTCGCTCTCTTTGGCCAACTAGGGAACACACATATACACATATATTAGAAATATGTAAAAGTGTTTACTTTTTTCCATGTTTCCAGTTTAATGTGCACTGACAGCTACAAAAAGGTCATTTGTGGTTTGATTTTTCAAAAATGTAATACTCTGTGGTGCTACAGTATCAAAACATCCAACCAGCCTGAAACAGCAAAACCCTTATTACTGATAAAT